CTTCCGATCTAAAGTAAAGAAATTAAATATGCATTCCATAATAAATAGCAGTATTCAACTTAAACCATATATATTATTTAGTTTATATATTCAATATATATTTACCATAATATTCTTAAAATAAAGAGGCATATTCGTTTTTTATATTGATAACATTTACTTTAATTTAAAACTTAGAGTATTCACTACTAATATTCAATAACTACACAATGATATTCAATTTATATTATATTATTATTTCACTCACATATTCAACTTAGCTTTTGATTTACAACTNAAATGTAATACTAGAATATTCTATTGAAGTATCCAATTAAAATCTAATATTACATCAACATTATTAGAATATACTATTAAAGAGCAGTAGTATTCCAAATAATTTCTAACAATATATCAACATGTAATCATAAAATAGAATAAACTATTAATGCGATATACTATTAAAGTATGTTGGTTTAAATATTTTATTCTAATATTTTATTTTTTCGATTTGAATACTATATTTCAAATTTAGAATATTGTACTATATTTCAACTTTAGAATATTGCGATATGTTTGATTCGAATATTGTGTACCAATTTAAAATATTGTGGTATGCTTGATTTGACTATCGTATTCTTTATTAGAATATTGTAGGATGTGATTTGAATATTAAACTCCAATTTAAAATATTGTGGTATGCTTGATTTCTAACAATACTGAAAGCTTCTTTCTACCAATGTTGTCACCAACATTTCGTCTTTTTAGACCCAGACCCTAGTTTTTACCCTATCATATTTTTTTCTACTAACTTTTATGCCATCATCCTTTCTGAATGTTCGAACTTTAGAATTTTGAGAACGTAATTTCGCAAATCTAGCATTATCATCCCTTTTGGAAGCTGATTCATAGATTGCAAGTGGAGTTTCATCCAATAATTTCACTTCTCCCGATTGAATTTCAATGGGAGAAGAAATTTTATCGCCCTTTCCAAGTATTTTTTCAGTGCTATCGAAAAGCCAGTTTTCTCTTCGTCCTTTCCTTAACTTTTTGCTTTCTATTTTCTTGAGAGGAAAAACTTGAAAGAAGTGATTGTGTGATCGAACCAGTAAGAAGGAATAAATAGGTACACGATGCTTACTACAATTTTGAGAAAGATATAATATTATCCCAATTAAGTGTGATTGAAGATACCCTAAAAGAACCTAAGCAGATAATCTAATCCCTTAAAAGGTGGGATATGTCTAATGGCATATAATGATATTAAATGCTTAAGAAGTAAATAAAGTTTTATAAAGTAGGTATAGAATGTAAAATAAATATTTTAAAAGTATATGGAGTTAACTAGTATTTTTAATGGGTAGACCACGTAGATTATACTTAATATTGACACAACTCATTTTGATTCGCCCAAGATCAGCCCAACCTGCCCATTTGACACCCATATTCAAAATTCACATATTTTGACTCCCAAGAAACAGAAACATGAAAACTAATTTGGGACATAGGGGATATTACCTTAAGTTTTCTTTTATAGTTTTTGTTTTTAATACTTGTAATTTCTGTAACTGATTTTGCTCTTTAAATATTTTGCTGAATATGTTTCATGTCGAATATTTGGGAAATATAATGCTTTAGGCTCCAACTTGCTGCCATTCTCGTGTGAACATATATGACATTGAAGGAGTTAAAATCTTTAAAAATTGGATGCTTCAACAAGACGGAAACACCTACAATCAATAAAGAATCTAAGAATGTAGCGGGTCACAATAATTGAGTTGCACGCAAGCTGGCCTCGACCGGACATCATGATTATAATAATAAAAAAAATCTAAGGATATAGTGACTTGTCAAGTATTAGTAGTACTCTTTAATTATTCCCATCTCTAAGCTTAATAACTACTCCCTCTATTAGGACTGAAGTTAATAGTCAAAGCAAAATGTCCACCGTAACTTGTAGTGTTGAGGGACTATTTCAAGTGGCAAAGGTTGAGGGATTTGCGACTTAGGTCACATGTTTGAACCTTATGACAATTGCCATTTAAATTAAGCCTGGTATTTAAGTGGAGAAGGATAGAGTGATAGACCCATTATCTGCGAGTTTCAAAGGCTACAGTTGGTCCTATAAGAGTGGCCCCAGACGGATTTTTCGGTCATAAAAATGTTTAACTTGTTATAGGCATTCTTTACAGCATTTGTCTGTTGTATGGTTAAAATCATTTATTCATCTTTAGCTCAGGTAGTCCCAATTTCTTGTGCTTTTTCTCCTTTCAATGGTTCCATTATGTGTGCGGAAACGAGCTTCTTCATTCAATGAATTTCTTAAGATAAATACAGTGCTTAGACTAAAACTACTGGGGTTACGCATATTTAGAGGCAGACCTATGTTTGGAGTAGAGGGGTCACCGGACCTCATTAACCTCGGCTAAAATTCTCGACATATATGTGTATATAAGTTAAATACAGTCATATATTTTGCTTGGAAATGTCAGCTATGCAGCAAGTAATGAAGTAAGTTACAACGATGGGGTTTAAGAGGAAGAAAGAAAAACTTACTCAAGATTATATGATCTCTGTTATTCTCTGAAAGCTTTTCTATAAAAATACATCAGAAGCACACAAACTTTGCTCGCGCAAAACTTTGCTCGTATAATTTATCTATTTCCAGGCATAGTTAAAAGGGCAGCCCGACTAAGCTGCTCGCATAATTTATCTATTTCCAGGCATAGTTAAAAGGGCAGCCCGACTAAGCTCCCGCTATGCGCGAGGTTCGAGGAAGGACAGGACCAAAAGGGTCTATCGTACGCAGCCTTACCCTGCATTTCTGCAAGAGGCTGTTTCCACGGCTCGAACCCGTGACCTCCTGGTCACATGACAACAATTTTACCCAGTAACTAAGACGACTTATGGGTTTGGTGGTCAGTTCAGAACCCATAAACTTTAAATTCTGGCTCCGCCTCTGAATACCCATTTATGTCATGCTGGGATTTTACGTATGGCAAGTGTTAGTATAAGAGAGTAAGGCACTTGCTGCAAAATAAGTCTCTCTGACAGTTGAAAAAGGCTTCACCAACAATAAGTAGGTAAAAAAACTCAAACAAAAAGCAGAACAAAATAGTAGGTAAAGTATAAATGAACTAATAGAAGTTTCAAGAGTGACCATTATATTATAGTCCCTTGTTCTTCC